AAAAATGATATTGAAATGTGTGTAAACAGAGATTTGGAAAAACTTGACAAATGGTCACGGGACTGGCTTACTAAATTTAATCAACAGAAAACTGATGTGTTATTAATATCTAATTCGCGAAATATCCTTCCTTTACAGATTTGTTTTGGTACTGATACTCTGAATTGTGTTGAAAGTCATAAACATTTAGGCGTAATATTTAGTGCAGATGCAAAATGGTCTTTACATATTTCCGGAATTCAAAAAACATGCATGAAAAAGGTATCAGTACTACGAAAGTTTAAATAACTGTTGAGTAGGAAAACTTTGTTATGAATATATAAAGTATTTGTGTTGCCTGTGTTGGAATATGCCTGTGAGGTTTGGGATGGTTGTTCTCTGGCAGATCTAGCTAAACTTGAACAAGTTCAGCTTGAAGCAGCAAGAATTATTACTGGCCTACCTTCTTTTTCTAGTAAACAATCACTGTATCAAGAATCCCAACTTGAACCTCTATCTGAAAAAAGACAGGAGGCCCAAGGGCCTTAGCGGTCACCTGAGTTATATCATAGGTACTGGTAGCTTTATTTTATTGTTTAGATGTGATGTGGAAATCAGCATGTAAATTAAGTGAAATACAATACTTGTCATGTCATCAAAGGATAAGAATTTGAAAATGTTGGTAAATGTTCCCTTTGGGGCCCCGCCCTAGCCCCTGGGAGGGGCAGGAATCCCAATTTTACAAAGTAATACTCTCATTCACCAAAGATGATTCTGACTAAGTTTGAGTAATTTTCTGCTGAAAATGGATAAAATATACCCAAAAGTGTTATTTCCCTATATAAACTATAGTAAACTTAACCCCCTCCCCAAGGGAAAAACGAATAGCTCGAGGGTCCTGAAATTTACAATTTAAATATAGCCCCTGATGATTTTCTTCCCATGCAGAGAAAATGAATGTAGTACCTCTGAGTCTGGAGAAGAAGATTTTTGAAATATTGGTTAATTTTCCCTTTGGGGCCCCGCCCTGGCCCCAGGGGTTGGGTAGGAATTCCAATTTTACAATTTTGTAGCCTCATCTACCAAGGATGATTCTGACCAAGTTTAAAAAAATCCATCCACTGGTTCTTGAGAAGAAGTTGAAAATGTAAAAAAGTTTACGCACGACGACGGACGGAAAGCGATTAGAATAGGTCACTTGAGCAAAGCTCAGGTGACCAAAAAACTTAAGAAACTTTCCCTAATGTACAAACTCCATAATAAACAAACACCTTCTTATTTAACTAACATTCTTCCTCCTAAAGTATGCGAACGCAATAGCTACAACTTGAGAAATACTGAAAACTACACTGTTCCCAATTTCCGACTGTCTAGTTCATTCCAATCCTTTATTCATTCTCCTATAAGACTATGGAACGATTTACCAAATACTGTCAGAGAGCAGCCATCCGTTAACATTTTAAATCATCGATTCAGCGTAACCAAGGTTACTTGTTGCCTATTTTTTTTCATGTAGGAAATCGAAAACTAAATATTTTACATACACGATTGCGTCATTCATGTAGTAGTTTAAATTATGTTTTGTATAGAGTTAATATTGTAGGTGATCCAATGTGTGCCATGTGGATATGAGTGTGAAAATGCAGTCCATTATTTTTTTGATTGTATGCTGTATATCAGACAAAGGCAAATTTTGATTGATGATATCTCACGTTATTGTAATATTTCTCTAAATATTATCATGTACGGTTCTCCAAACTTGTCAGATGAAGACAATGAAAATATCTTCCATATAGTCTAAACCTACATTAAAATTAGTAACAGATTTTAAGGTCAGTAGTAATATCCTATCATCTCTCTTTCTTATTCTTCTAAATTTCTTTTTCTTCCCTTTTCCCTTTCTTTCTTCTTTGTTCATATATATTATTAATATATTTGTTGTTGTTGTCATGTAATCAATATAATGAAATGTATTGGAGATGGCGTTTCTAAGTTGAGATAACTTGTGCCTAATCCTTTTTTGTTGAATGACTAATAAAAAATGTTTAAATCAAACCAACAGTTGTGTGTTTGTAAACAAAAACACATGTGGGGTATTAATACCGTCATTCACTTTTGATGACGTCACAATTGCCAGCGACACATTTTAATGACGTCACTATTGAACACGTGCTAATTGGCACGAGCCTATCTCCCCCTATGGGGTGACAAGCTGATCTGTTCCAGGTAAAACGGGAGACACACCTGTGTGTCTCCCTTTTAAGCCGGACAAAATCAGCTTACCACACCCTAGGGGGAGACAGTCTCGTGCAGAATGGCGCGATCTCAGTCTAAACGATAGTATGACGTCACATAATCAATGCATTGACGTTACATCAACAGTAGCAGACCATGGTAAACAACTCTGGATTCGCTGGCAAAACATGCAATCACCGCTTTTAATTCATGCAATCACCCATGTATACTAGATGGGAGAACAGCATCATCCCCTACATTGAGGATGTGACAGAGAAATCTCTAACCCCCGGATTATATATTTTCGAATGTCATCGGCAAAGTCTGGGGTAAGACAATCAAGAATCTCATCCCTCGGGTTGGAGATTTCTCTGTCACATTCTAAAAGAGGAAGATTCTATTAGTCCCGGAATTTTATGAAAGATACCACTTTACATTCTCTAGAAGGTTTGGAGAACTTCAAAGTATTGCAAGTTGGTCACCCGATCGATTATCCTTGGTATCAAAGAGGTTAGGGTAAAAATGGAACGTGTGGACTCTAAAATTGAGAAATTAAGGACACATTGTTTTATTGAGAAATTAAGGGCACATATTTATTCAAATTGAAAATACACAAAAATAATTATTCCTTTGGAAAAATGATGTCAGTTATGAGTTTATATGATAAATATAATGCTTCCTTACAAATTGAAATAAATCATCTAAACTAAAATGACAATTACGAACAATATGACTAGGAATTGGTTCTTTTTCGGTAAAACGATGAAGCGCTGTTATTTGAATTTATTTCATCGATTTAAATGTTGATAAGTAAAGTTATATATTTATATGCAAAACAACATAAATAGAAAAAAATACAAGTCCGAATATCAGGAAAAACCAATATTAATTCACCCCAATGGTTGACAAACGTCGTGTAGTACACAGTGTCTGTAGGTGTAAGGGAGGTAACTCGTGTGTTCTTCAGCATTGTCGTTTGGGATTGAGGCAAAAATCTTATCAAGACGGGCGCATACAAAATACCACCAAAAAGATAGTGTTTATGAAACGGATGTTATTCTTAAAATGTAAGCTACTAACACCAACTGTATGAGGGATTCGTGCTGTATCTATTTTATATTAGCAAGCAAACTTCATTTTAAATATGTGCATGCATCAGGGGTTTTTCATACTTTATAAAACTTTAAAATTGAATTCATTTTTTTTAAATCGCCCCAAACAGTAACAATTTCAATCATTTTTTGGACAATTAAATTATTCTAATAGATTTCTGTTTTATTTCTATACTTGTTTTCACGGATTTAGCTTTCTAAGTCCGTGTTGAAACTAAACAAATTTTGTTTACAGGGTCAAGTATTTTTTTCCAGTTCTGGCGATTGCCGATTGTAAAGCGTCTTACCGTCTATGATCACTAGCACTCCACCACTGGGTCGCGGGTTCGAGACCTACGTAGGGCAATCGCCAGGTACTGGCAACAGGTCGGTGGTTTTTTGTTCTTCAGCTTTTCCTCTGCCACGAAACCCTGCCACGTCCTGAATTACCAAAGCTGTTAACATGTCATCTGAAGGTTATTTATACCAGCACCTTAAAAAAGTTATTGATATATTTGTCTTCAATTTAACTTATGTAAATCAATAGAACCAAAGTACCTATTACAAGTTTTAGATTGTCATCTCATAACTTAGATATTGTAGTGGGTAGACGGAACAATGTTGTTCGACAGAATACATCATGTACGCACTGTGCTTCTGGTGATATAGAAGATGAATTTCACTTCATCCTAAAATGTCCGTTACATCCAAGACCTGAGATGTACATATATCAAGCGATTCTATCACAGAAGTCCTAATTTTTTAAGTTAACGAAATTATGGAGTACTAATAATGTAAAAGAATTATGTAATCTCGGAAAGTATTGATATTGTGCTAGGAGAAAACGTAGAGAAATCAATGTTTAATATGGAAAACTACTTGTGTACTTTGGTAAGTTGAATTTGTATAATAATCTCTTGTACATGTATTACATGGTGTTATTGTTTGACATTTAACACACGAGTCGGATGGCTCTCGGGAATGAACGGAAATGAGGACGAAATTCACAGTACTTACTGTAATGTGAAAGAAATAGAATGGATCATTGCAATATGAGAAAGGTCATTTTGTTCATGATCAGTCTCAAAAACTGAGGACGTAATCCACGATCAGACTATGGCGTTCTCGCAATCATTATTGTGATATTATGACAGTGTTTCAGATATTTCAAAGAAACCTGATGCACGTCATTTTTCACCATCGCCTTTTAATGTTAATGTTACCGAATGTCGTCGTTCCATCATGTCAAAAAATTGTCATGTTCAAAATTGGTTCGAAGCAGTGTTGTTTTTACATTATTTTGACAAATATTAACACATTATCCAACGTGTTAACCGATCACTTTTTTCATTTTTTACCAATTTCTCTTGTGTATAAATATTTAGTGAAACTTGGGCACCGGTTTGATACGTTTTCTTGCCTTAAACACATAACTGGGTAATTCCGCGGATATTTGACCGAGACGTCTCGTCTGTACGAATCTGTGTGTATGTAAGTGCGTGTGACGTCAGTATGTCAGTTCCCTCGGGTATTATATATAGATCAGACGATTACCGGACAGTAATAGACCGGGACGAATGTTGCTGCCCCGGGACAGATTACGTCATGGCATACCAGGAAAGAAATGTGTCAAGGATTCCTGACATGAGCGACATATTAGCACACACACATACATATATATGGATAAATACTGTATGGTTTCAATTCGTTCTTTATTAAACACCCTTTAAGATAACATCAGTTACGCAGCTTCTCTCTCCATTACCTCAAGATGCAACATCCGTTTATTACGGCTATATTACACTCCTTTACCTAGGTATATCACCCATCCCTATATATCACCATATACCTGTTCTTAACACACTCAGGTGGAACCCGGCAGTCTGGAATATAAAAATGCGTATATTCGAAGAGTCCTGGACACTTTTTGAGAAATTTGGGTAGCCCTGAAAAGGGCTTTTGGGGGTGGGGGTCTGTAAAGACCAAAACACTGGAAAAGTGTTTACTTCTTGGCGGGTTTCTTGGCTGCTGCCTTCTTAGCTGCAGGTTTCTTGGCTACGGGCTTTTTGGCTGCAGCCTTCTTCGGGGTTTTGACCTTCGGCTTGACGACCTTCTTTGCTGGTTTCTTCGCTGCTTTCTCCTTCTTAGGGGACTTTGTTTTCTTTGCGGCAGCGACCTTCTTGGGTTTGGTTGCTGCGGCCTTCTTTGGTTTCTTTACTTTCTTAGCTGCTGCCGCTGGTTTCTTGACTGCCTTAGGTTTGTCTCCTAGTTTGAATGAGCCAGTAGCTCCGACGCCTTTCACTTGCTTCAGTGTTCCCTTTGCGACTCCACTCTTCAGAGCAGTTTTGACTCTGGAGCTGACCTTTTTCTTATCATCACCGACCTTGTAGTTGGCCATGATGTAACCCAGTATCCCGATTTTGGACGATCCTTTCTTGTCCTTAAGAGCTCCTACAGCTGCGGTTACCATGGTGGCAAACGGAGGGTGTGCTGCTGGAACCTTAGGCTTGGTTGCCTTCTTGACTTTCTTCACTGGGGATGCTGCTGCGGCGCTCATGTTGACGGTTTAGATATCCTGTCTGTACCGAGGTAGAAGTTAGAATGCCTGAACTTTTCAAAACCGCCTATTTACGCATTTTGCTCGAACGTCGTCGAAGACACCCACACAGAACGCTCGACTTTTACCGACTATATAAGTGGTGATATGAATTATGTGTTTTCTTACCTTACTTCAATCGTGTACAGCTCATTCGTTACAAACCCTACAATATTTTAGTAACAGCGATATTAAAGCATTTTATTTAAATATTTCATTTATGAAAAGCAAAAATGTTAAAGTTTTGGGAGAATAGTGTATTCGAATCATTTTTTGCCGATATTTTGATTTGGTGATGGTGAATTTCATGTATAGATGTAAAACTTACATATAAATACAATTACCGCTATTATTTTTGTTACATTAAAGTAATGAATAAATATTTTTCTTTCCTTTGATGTATCAAACATATATACTTATATTCTCTTATATCGATAAAAAAGCGATTCAACCGAGACATAGAAGCACAGGTTTGGAACACGCGCCATATTGTAAGCTAAACACAGACCCGTTTAAAAATGCTTTCTAAGGCTCCTTTTTAATAAAATTACAAATAAAGATATATTGTAAATGCTTGAAACGGCTATTTTCCTGATTTTAATCATATGAAATGCAAAAATTGTACTGTAAAATGCTTTGTTTTTAGAAATTTCACCGGCCTATAGGCCTACAGCGTTTGATGGCTGACATACCACCCGAAGAATTCGAATGTCGGCCTAATATTTTTTTCACTTTGGTATCAATAAATATCAATAATTTTGTGTCATATATGTACATAATATTTAGCATTACTCCATAATTATATATATATATTCATTCAATTCTATCATTAGGAAAGATTCGCCCATCGAGGTACAAATTATATAACAGCCAAGATATTTACAAACTGGGACATTTCCCTCGGTCACGTTTTTGATTTCGTGGATTTCTGATCCGTCCCTGACTTTTCAAAATAATTTATGCAAATAAAATAGTGTAGAACTTCATCAATAAATTTTCATTATTAGATATTCTAATGAATTAACAAAATTTTCGTGTAAATTAACCTTATTTCTGTCTTACTAATAGATCTGATATTACTGTTCTGTATGTGAAACTAGTAAAGCGACCATTTCAAAACTACAAGTTACTTTCAATTACTTCTTTTAATATTAGCATATGAATGATTTGTACATTAACATATTATTATCTTACTTTATACCAATTGTTTGAAGGAATAACGAAAGTAAAACATCACAAAGGACTTTCAATATAACATTTGTGTCTATCAATAGGAATTAAAATTTACTGACATTAATAAAATTCATCGCGGTCAGTCCGACTTTTTTTGCAAAAAAAAAAAATCATCAATTATTGTTTACATTCCTTTACTTTCTATTCATATATACTTTTAATAAAATGTCTTTGATATATATTCATTTTCATGTCATATAGGTACACACACATATACACATTCTCTTGGAATACTTTGTAAGAACGCGATATTTATTTGGTCAATAAGAATGAGATTTCAGACTCTGTATAACTTGTGAGAACACAAGTGCAAATTTTGTCCATGAGAGGGAAATAGCTGTATAATTTGTGAAAACACGACAAATGTATGGGTCTAGATCCTAAATTAAAGAAATCTGAAAAATAAATGAGATTACAAAATGTATTTGCCTCCATAAAAATGACATAACAGTATAATTGTGAGAAAATGAGACTATTTAAGGTTCATACGAAAATTAAATCATTAACTCCAGTAGTGCTATCTAGGTCCCGGATTTCACGAATGTTTAAATGTTCCTATCCCAAGCTTTCCCTATAATTATAGAAAACGTTTCTTGGGGAAACACAGAATAAATAAATAAACTAAGTTTATGATGAAAGAACTTCGTTCACCTGATGGATATTTAATTTTAATGCAGTTTCATATTTTCATTTTGCATTTACGTTCATATGGTAAATGAGCACTCAAATGTCTCACAAAATACATATGAAAACAAACTATATTGAGGGACATAACTCATGTTTGTTTAAACTTTATTTAAAAGTATTTCTTATTTCAAACTGGTATAATAATCCAGTAATGCAAACATGATATACATATAGGATTCGAAAATAAGTACAAAGTACTTATGTTAATCCGTTTCCTTTTTTGGTGTAAAACGGCGATTGGATGGCACTGACTATTATTATGAATATAGATACAGGTATATGGAAGAGAAGAGGATGGGGGAGGAAGGAGGGAAAGAGGTGCAAAAGGGTTTAAAGAAAGTATTGTTGGGGGTAAAATATATAGAGGAGTAAATTACATTTACTGCATTACGGGAGGAAAAACTGAGTGGAGTATATTTTGGATGTGGACATATGTCCAGGACTGTACATGTCTCTGATGTATTCAACCACGGACTTCGATAACCTAATCTAATTCCGTGATTCAACACACAATAAATTAATTGCATATAATGAAAACTTTCCATTCCGACTCCTGAGTATTCCGACATCCAGTGCTTAACAGCAACCTGGTGTAATTCAAAATATTAAAAGTATCATCAAACAAGACTATGACGGTTTGTTTATATATATATATATCCATACTGACGTTTCGTGACATACAGGGGCCGTACCAGTCATGTTAGCTTTGTCAAATATTTTTCTGAACAATATCTCGATCTCTTTTTTTTTCCTTCTCTTAATTATGATTCCTTCTTTGAATGATATTTTATTCCGAGTAAATTGAATTAAGTATATTATAATTGTTTGGTTTATATTGTAATCACGTATATGTTTATTTTTTAAGAGGACTGGAAGATTTGTAAAACGTGCAGGTGCCCTTCTCTTCAGCGAATCAATTTTGACAAGAAAATATTCAGAACTGAATTACTGTTGGCTTACTTGCAAAATTATCTTGGCTTTTCTCTTGTGTTTCTGTAACTTACGTCATCACAGCTTGTTACGCCATCTGACAACTTGTTACGTCATCTCAGCTTGTCACTGACACGTAGTCTGGCTACCTGACAAGCGGTAACGACTGAGACACTAATGAAGAATGCTCTTCCAGTTTACGGATAAGTCAGACGGTTAAAAATAATAACATTAAATGTACAGTTAGTACTTTTTTTTTCCGAGACTTATAAATCTTTGAGTTCGAAAAATAAGTATATATAGTGTAGATTTGATTAAAACATATCTATATTTGCATCTATTATACAAAAGTGATTGGGCACAAGACACAGAGAGACAGACACAGAGAGAGAGACAGACACAGAGAGACAGACACAGAGAGAGAGACAGAGCCCGACCTCCTTTGTATAGTCAGAAAGGCCAAGAAATGAAAATTCGTCACCAAATATTGACTTGCCTTTTACCAAGGAGTTCGGGGCTCGATTCCCTGACCGGACGTGAAAAGCTAGGTAGGCGGTCACCTTCCCGAACTCGTGGGTTTTCTCCGGGTGCTCCGGTTACTTCTCATGGTAAGCGCCCCCGCGAGCCTCCATCGGTGACAATAATAGTGATTTTTAAAAATAATTGTGAAAAGTTGTTTCATAAGTGTTATAAAATATATGAAGCATAGATATATATACTGTTTTTTATCAACATTATTCCATCTTCCAATTTCAACTACACTGTATTAATTCATGATTGCTGGTTCTAATTATAAACATTGCAATTCTTTCGCCATCATTTAAAATTTCTGAAAAAAACATTTTACGCGGACACCTAATAATAGAATACATGCCCGTTTCATTTCTGTATCCTCTGATCGTGCAGTGTCTGATTTACAGCACATGGTGCTCTGGATGTTTCTTTTATTTACCTTTTATTTATTTATTAACAATTTGATGCACAATACCACAATGACAATGAATTTCGGTAGACCTTAACTCTTACGTTTTTAGACATGCGCATCACTACATCAAATCCAGCAAAAGATTTTGAACGGTGCTTTTTTAAAGTTGTGTATTTTGTACCTGTGTGAATATTATATATATCAACGACAGACCAATATAAAAAAAAAACGATAAAACGTCAGAATAATTCGGACTAGGGAGAAGGCTGTGATAAGTTGGAATAACTTGTGCCCAATCCCTTGTTCAATTTTATTGGCAATAAATATGTTTAAAGTAAAGACAATGAATGACTGACTGACGATGTTCCGTCAAATGTCTTGCTAATTGGAATATTTTAGCGAGTCTTTGATATTTCGAAAATATCAACATGCACATGGTTAAGTTTTACAAAAATGAAAATAAGCAAGATGGAAAATATACCAAATGGAAAATTTGAGTTAATTTGTTGCTCAGTAAACCTCGCTATCATTACTTGTTAGCGCACGTGGAGAAGTTTAAGATTTTATTTTTAAATATACAAGATGGAAAATATACAAAATGGAAAATTTGAGTTAATTTGTTGTCCAGTAAACCTCGCTTTCATCAATCAATTTAGGACAATAGGTCCCCCATAATTCACTTTACATACATATTCTTTAATAATTTGTTTTGTGTTGATTGTGAGTATTCAACGGGAAACCTTAGAAAGATTTCCAAATGCAAAAATAGCATACTCAAATTACTTTGTTATGTAACTTGGTTAACTGTCACTATATAGATGATACAGGAAGTTTATTGAAGTATCTCTATTTTCAATTTAATTTTCTTCAATTCCCAAGAAATTGTTTTGTGATAGAAATACTTTCAAAGTTTCTTTATCTAGTGGTGCAAATTCGACTCCACCATCTTATTATAATTTTGGCGAACGATATATAAATATATTACATACGAAAGTCAGGCATCAGTGCAGCTCTTTGAAAAATGATTTGTTCCGTGTTTAGACTGTTGATAAGCAAGCACGTGATTGCGCCTGTGAGGATGTTCGCCATTTATCTTATAATGTGAACTTTTTTTAATGGCCGCACGAATTACGCTATTTCAAAACATAAGCTCGTTGAATGTACATCCGGTTAATTTAGATTTATTTGTACTTGTGTGGCAATGACAATCTGTCCGTAGATACCAA